CCAGGACCCAGGAGAACTATGTGCACAACAACCACAATAGTGTTTAAATGAAAACAGCAGTAAAAGACATGAAAATTCAGACTATACCCAATGTCATATCTTGGTGTCAGAGAACTGAAGATGAAATAAACTACTCTCAGTAGAGAGGGGTAGACTGTAGGTGTGAATTGATGTTTATCAGTGGTTCTCAGGACTTTTTTGCTCATGGTATTCTTTGCCTTGAGGAATCATTGCATACCTAACATTTAATGTGACAACAAAAAATGATTTCCAGGCAAGGGGAGATCTAGAACTATTAATGGTGAATGAGATTCCACTTCTTCTCCTTTCTTAGTCCACGTCCCCCAACCCTCTTCTTTCTTTATTCCCCTGAGACTCACAGTGGAGGAGGTAGCAAAGAGAATTACTGCTGTGAAGCAAAGATGAGAAGGGAGAAAACTGAAAATGGAGAGAGGGTAATTTGAGAGTTGGGGGAACCTCAGTGGTGCTCCAGTCCTACCCATACATGAAAGAATGCCTGCCCAGACATAACCCATTAAGTAAGTCTGCTTGAAGACGTCCGAGGAGGGAGCAGCCACTGCCTCTTGAATCTGCCCATTCCAATTTTGAGCCGATCTCATTATTAGAAGGTTTTGTTCCTGACATCAAGCGTATTGGCCTCTTTGAAACTTCTCCCGGTTTTTCCTGGTTCTGCCTTGTAGAGCCAAACAGAACAAGTCTAACCACTCAACCACATGAAAGTCTTCAGATACTTGAAAATAGCTGTCATGCTCCCCCTGAGCCTTTTTTATCACCAAGCTAACCACGTTCAGTTCCTTTAACCCATTCTTGCTTGGATTTAATGCCTTTTGACATCCTTGTTGCCTTCATCTGTATGCTATCAACCCTATCTATTTTTTTCTTAAATTTTAGTACCTGGAACAGAATATAATATTTTAGATGAGGTCTCACAAGAAGCATAGTACATTTGGACTATCACCTCTCTCTACCTAAAAGTTATTACCTTCTTAATATGGTGCAAAATCATATCAGCTTTTTTTAAAAAAAAAAAAAGTCACATCACACAGCTGACTCATATTGAACATGTAGTCCACTAAAACTTTCAGACCTTTTTCAGAACGACTGCTGTCTATCCATTTCTCCCTCATCTTATACCTCCCAAGTTGGTTTTTTTGTACCCAAGTGTAAGACTTTGTATTTATTCTTATTAAATTTTATCTTGTTAGGTTCAACCCAATAACCTAGTCTATTAAGATCTCACATCTATTAAGATCCCTATTTTGCTATGCCATGTATTAGCTGCAAGTTCTGTGTCATCTTCAAGTTTGATGAGCATACCATCTATGCCTTTATTTGAGTTATGGGTAAAAATGTTAAATATTTGCATGAACCAACCACTCATTTCAGGTACTCCACTAGAGACCTCCTACAATTTTGTTTGTTTTTCTTTGTTTTTTCTTTTTAGGCAGTTGGGGTTAAGTGACTTGCCCAGGGTCACACAGCTAGTAAGTGTCATGTGTTTGGTCTGAGGCCGGATTTGAATTCAGGTCCTCCTGACTTCAGTGCCAGTGCTCTATCCCCTACACCACCTAGCTGCCCCCTCTCCTGCAATTTTGATAAATACTTTGGGTTCTGCCATCCAACTAGTACTAAATCCCTCTGTTTGTATCATATCTAATAGATATCTCTCTAGCTTCTCTATAAGAACAATATAGGATAGTTTTATCTAAAGGTTTACTGAAATCTAGGTAAACTGTATCTACAACATTTATTTTCCCTCATCTATGAGTTGGTAGTTCTGTCAGAAAAGGAAATGAGGTTAGTCTGGCATGAGTTGTTCTTAATCAATCAGTGCTGGTTCTTTGTTATCATTGTTTCCTTTTCTATATGTTCACCCATCATCTCTTTAATGATCTGTTTGAGAACTTTGTCAGAAATTGAAATCAAACTTCCAGGCTTATAGTTTGCTTGAAATTTTATTTATAGGACCATGCTATATTCACATTCATCTTCCGTTACCTGGCCTTGCTTCCATTTTCCGCATATTTCTTTTTTAAAATCCAAGTTGGTTGGTAAGTTCCCTATGAATCCACATTAGTCTCTTCAGACAGATCCCATTTCTCCTTCTCACCAGACTTCTTTTCCCTGTATGTCTTCAGAATTTCATTCTTGAACAACTAATCCCACCTAGGCCAATTTCTCTTGAAGCATTAGTCCCTAACATACTATCTGTCGCTCGCTGAGCTTTTAGAAGTTTGGTTTCCTGAAATCTAGGGAATGTCAGACTATACCTAGATTTCCTCTCCTTTCTTTTAGGTAGCATGGTCACATCCCTCTTGGGTTCCCATCATCGCCACCCCAGCAACCAGTTCCTTCCTATTCGTGAGAATGAGATTCAGAATAGAATTTTCCTTTGTCCATTCCTCTGCCTTTTGAAGGATTAAATTATCACTTAGGCAAGACAAGAAGTTATTAACTGTTCTTCTTTTGACAGAGAGAGAGCTCCTGCAGATGTCTGGATAATTGAAATCCTCCATCACTACTTTATCTTGCCAGGCTTGTGATGTTTCTCAAACTCCTATTTCCTGTTTCTTTCTCGGTGGTATGTAGTATACTCTACAATATTGTTTCTATTTCTGCTTCCTGAATCCAAATCAAATTTTTTTTTCCACTTTGTAGTTGAGAGAATACATCACATAGGCAGGAAGAGATCATTTGTGTACAAGTAGAGGCTGGGATGTTGAGTTCAGGAAACAGCTTGTTGGCCACTTTGGCTAAAATATAGTATTTGAAGAGGAAACACATAATAAGGTAAGAAGATAAATTAGAATCCCATTGTGATCTTTAAATATCAAACTGAGAAATTTGTAATGTAATATAATATAATGCCACATAATGCCACTGAGGGCTTTTGAGGAAAAGAGTTACATGGACCTGTCTGTGCCTTCAGAAGATTATTTTGACAACTGTGTGGAGGATGGACAGGAGAAGATTAAGCTGTTTGATGGTTATTTCCAATTAGTCTCAGTATGCTCTAATGTCCTTATAATGCCACTTTACCCTGACAACTAGAATGTAAGCTCCTTGAGTTCAGGGACTGTTTGATATTTTTCCTTTGTGTCTCCAGGCCTACCGTAAAGCTGGACACCCTGAAGGTGCTCAATAAATACTTGAAGAATTGAATTGAAAGAAGAGTTCCTATTCACTATCCTGTCTTGTTTACTCAGACATTGGTCTACACCAAGCCTTTTCCCTTTCTGTATCTTAAGAGCAACCTTAGTTCAGGGTTTCATTATAACCCTTCTTTCAAAAATCAAGCACAATGTCCTACCATCTACTCAGGGAAGATTAAAAAATGTGTTTCCCATAGTAGACCTCAATGGGGATTTGTTCAATCAAAAGTCTCATGAAAAAGACCTTTAGGAGATTATGTAATGTAACCCTTTCTTCTCCTTTCTCTTGTATTTTAGGGATGAGTCACACTTGTATTCCATCTTAAGTATTTTTAGAGTAAATGAATCAGAAATACAGCTTTTCTTTTTAAAAGCAAAATTTTTAAAGTATATTATTCTATTAATTATATTTAAGTATTAGTATATTCTTTCTATGGGCATGTTACCATAATCTTCCCTCCATGGGTATATTACCATAATCTTCTTTCCATTTTTTTATGAGGAAGAACCACTTCTTCTTTCTCTTCTTTACCTAACATTCCTAAAACCACCACCCCAGTAAAGGTTTTTCTTAGGACTATAGCAGTGTCTCCCTGGTTTCTTTCCTTTTTATTTATCCTTCTTAACTCCTGCTAGAATATTCTTCTTAAACAAGCAGTAGTGTAATTGAATGGTTCTTCTTCTGAAAGCCCTCTAATGACTTCCCATTGCTTAAATCCAAATTCTCTAGCCTTTCATCCAAGGCTCTCAATAACCCAAACCTACTTTTCCTATCATCTCCTTTGAGGAAGTACCCCCGTGCCCTGGTCACACTGTACCACTTGTCATTCTGATTATGCTTTGTGCTTTTCTACTTTAGTACCTTTCTTCATTCTGTTTTCTCCACTTAAAGTGCTCTTCCTTTTCAGAATACCCACCATCCTTCAAAGCCCAGATCAAAGCCTACTTTCTGTAATGCCTTTCTGGACTACCTTGAATGGAAGTAAGTTGTCTCTCTTTAGAGCCTGATAGCAGTTCCTACCATTCTTATGGCACTTAGCACATAGGTTGTCTTCCTTTAGAGTTGTTAGTGTTTTATGTCTTATTTCCCCTGTGAGATTGCAAATTTCTTGAGAGTAAGAATCGTATTTTATTTAATCTCTGTAGCAAAATGTTTAACATAGTACCTTGCACGTAAAAGCAGCTCGGTAGACAATGTAATCAAAAGAGTATTGGACTTGTAGTCTGGAGACCTCAGTTTGAATCCAATCTCTGTCGCCTCTTAATGACTTTGGGGAAGTCATTAATTACTCAGAACCTCAGTTTCTCTTTCTGTAAAATGGGAACACTAATGTTTGTTCCACTTGTGTCAAAAAAAAATTGGGGGCAAAGGCACTTTGTAAACTAATATGTTACATTTGTGTGTGACTTATTTATATAATATTAGGTACAAGAATGATGATGACAATGATAACCATCTATTTAGTGAGCAAATGAATTTGAAAACTTGAGACTACCAGAGGGTGATGGGCTAGTAACAAAATACTTGAGCATTGCTATTGTTATCTTTGTACTCTCCCCATTGGGAGTTCTAGTAAACCATGGAGGAATGAGGTGGTGGGAGGAGGGGGAACGAGGGGCTGCCAGCTTAAAAGACCATCCAGCAGGGTTTTAGACTCTATTAGTAGATCATGATCTGTTGGTTGGAGGCTTTTGCTTAAAAGCTACATGGAAAACGAATAATCAAAAGCATCTTTTGTTGTTAACTTCAGTCTGATTTTCATGGTAGAATTATACTGTTTTTTTCTGTCCCAAACTTCTAAAACAAGTCTTACTTTTATGTTTTAGTCAAAGAAGTCTGGCAGAGATCACAGAACTTATCCACACCGCTTTCCTTGTGCATCGTGGGATAGTGAATTTAAGTGAATTGAATTCTTCCGATGGTCCACTGAAAGACATGCAGTTCGGAAATAAAATAGCCATCCTGAGCGGAGACTTCCTTCTAGCAAATGCCTGCACTGGACTAGCCCAGTTGCAGAACACTAAGGTAAAGAAGGAAAAAAAAAAAGAACACATACACGCATATATACATACACATACCTATATGTAGAAATATGTGTGTCATTTTCATTCTACATATATATAACTATTATCTAATCATTGACTATTTAACCTGAAAAAATGGCAGTTGCCTGGATATGTGCACATTGACTAATGCAGTAGCCTGACACTTTGTAAGTAAATGCTGACTAAATGTTAGTTTTTGATGGTGCTCCAGGCTATTAATCAAACATCACCATTGATCAAGGCTGCCACAGTTTCAGAAGTGATCAAGTCATTGATTATGAGAAAAGAAAATATATGATGCCTTTGACATTCGATTTGCATTTATACGAAAAGGGAACAGTAAAAAGAAGTGTCCCCCCACATAGTTCAACCTAATCCCACCTTCATTGATGATTAATTCCCTCCATTTAATGCTCCCTATATGGTGTCCCTTACTAGGCTTTCAGTGTAGTGCTTTACTTTCTGTATTTCCATCTGCACTGTAGTTCACATGTGAGTTCCATGTTCCCAATTCCTTTTCTTGCTCTTAAGACAAGTCTTCCTTTCCACTACTACATGAATTTTTTGTTTAGAGTTCACAGGCATACTTGTGTTCTTTGGGCTCTGCGTACTCAGGGTTATGGATGTATACCAGGGTTTTAAGGGGTGGGAAATGCTCTATACTATTGTTTTACAATAACTGATGAAATATGTGTTTACATGAGACCTCTTTCCCCAAAAAATAAAAGAAGATTTAGCTTATTGCTTTTAACAGTTTCTTCTTTTATTTATCCAGTCACCAATTTAATTTATTTTGATCTTTTCTTAGTGAAAGAGCTATATAAGTTTAAGGTATTAATTATTGTTTATATTAAATAATTTTTATTGCCTTATAAGAAGTAGAAATTAATGGCTTGTTTTAAATCAGTTTAAACCTTTGTGAGATAATATCTGATGTATTCTATTCATTCACTTACACTTTGTGTTATTCACATATACTCTTCCTTCCTATATTGTGTAACTATTTGAGTTTATGAGAATTAAATGCCTTATTTCCATTAAAATCAAACCAAGAAGCCTCTGAAATTCACTCGGTATTTTACATTCAAAACCATTGCTGTAAATGTTCCCAGAGTCCAAGACCTCCACCATCTGCTCCATTAGGCACTGGTTTTCGACATCACTTCTTGATTTAAAAAAAAAAAAAGTAATAATCTTTAACATTTCAGATCAGCAGCTCAGCTAGAAGCTTCTTGAAATCAATGATCGGCCATTTCTTTTCCTATAAGTAAATCTCTCACCTGCATGTTCCCTGCATGAGTTTTGCACTCCTAGATTTCATTTCATCAGCCTTTCTGTGGGGAGGTATTTTTCCTTTTTAAATCATGGCATGTTTTCACTTCAAATTATGTCTTGTAGCTTTTATTCTCAGCAATTTTCTCTTTTCCTTATCCTAAACATGGATATTTGATTTTTAGAGTTTCTACCTTTGTTCTTTAAGGGGTCATAGAAATCTCTACAAGGTCAGTTTCAAAAGAAGCCTCATTGACTCATTTTGTTTAAAATACCTGTAGTACTATGTTCAGTGTTCTGTGGTTGAGCCTCTGTAAATCTCAGCTTTTGATGTATCACTATTTTAACCACAGTAGATGACTTCTAAATGATGTGGATCGTCTTTGAAAGTGAAGGGATTATAGGTTGATACTAGTGTGCTTAGCATCCAGAGAAGTGTATTTGAAGAATGTCTTCCATGTGCTGAAAAGGTTCTGTTCATTCAAGGACTTATAGTTCCCAACAGAATAGTTTTCATACAAATCAAAGTTATGTCTCAGAAATAGAATAATTTATTGATCTCTCAGGTACCTGGCCAGCAAAAAAAACAAAACTCAGAAAACAGGGCAGGAGACCTCAATACCACCTCGTAAGAGATTTATAAATTTTTAAATTGATATCTTTTTTTACATCACCATCATTACCCAATATATGCCTTCCTTTACCTTACCCAGAGATCCAGTCTTTCTAACAAAGAATAAAAGGAAAGAGTAGGAAGAGCGGTTCAGGAAAACTAACATATCAGTGAAATTAGGCATATTATATTCAGTGGTACACATCCATAGTCTCCTCCCTCCCCCATATACACATATTTCTTCAAAGAAGGGAGAGAGGATTATTCTTATATCTCTTCTTAGATGCCAAGCATGGTCATCATAAACGCACAGCTTTCCGTTTTGACTCATTAAGTTTCCATTTACCCTGTAATCATTGTTTTCCTGCTTTTGCTTACTTCACTTTGCATCAGCTAATAAAAGTCTGCCTTCTCTGTGTGTTTCATATTCATCTTTTCTTACAACACAATAATATTTCATTGAAATCATTCATGTACCACAGTTTGTTTAGCCATCCCCCAGTCAATGGACATTTACTTTGTTTCTAGTTCTTTTCTCCTATGAAAAAGGTTTCCAAAAATACTTTGGGATATGTGAGGGTATTTTTTTTTAAATCTGTGACCTCCTTAGGATGTATGCCTAGCAGTGAGATCTTTAGGTCAAAAAAATTTAGGCATTTTAGTCACTTTCTTTGCATAATTTTAGGTTGCTTTTCAGAATAATTGGACCAATTCATAGCCCTAGCAACAGTATATTAACTATAATGTGCCTTAACTATAATACATTCTTCATATCTTTTTGTCACCTGCCAATTTGCTGGTTGTGAAGTGAAAGCTCAGAGTTGCTTTGATTTGCTTGTCTCTTAATCACTGATTTGGAACATTTTTTCATATTAATAGTTATAATTTTTCTTTTGATAACTGTTAGTAATCTTTGACCATTTATCTACTGGGTAATGGTTCTTGATCTTATACTTGTGCTAGTTACATAAATGTCTTGGATAGCCAACATTTAACAGAGATATAGTTACTACAAAGATCTTTTTCCTATTTGACTGCTTCCTTTCTTATTACAATTGTCTTGATTTTGTACATGTAAATGCTTTTCTATTTCACACAGTAAAAAAATATCAGTTTTATCCTTTGGGATCATGATCACTGTTCCTAGTTTGGTTAATAATTCTCACCCAACCATAGATATGAAACTTGCATGATTGGATACTCTGATTTTTTTTTTTTAATGGAATGATCCTTGATATTCAGGTCACATATACATTTTGCATTTTTTGTGCTATGTGGTGTAAGATATTAATCTAACACTAATTTCTTCCAAACTACCTGCCTGTTTTCCAACTAGTTCTTTTCAAATATGGATATCTTCTTTAAGTCACATATTATCTGGGTTTATTGAACACTTGATTGAGTTTAAATTGTGTCCAATTCTCCCTTATCTAGTCTGTTCCACTGATCTATTTTTCCATTATTACTCTACTGAAGCCATTGTTTCCATATGTTTATTTACTATTTTTTAGGGATTTTTTTAAAGGACTTCATAGGTGATTTTGATGTTGTGTTTTATTTTGACAATACTGACTCTTCTTATCTAAACATCTGTTCTACGTTATATTATCTTCAATTTTTAGCCAATGATTTTGGACTTTTTTTTATAAAATAAGTTCTCAGGTATTAAGAATGTAAATATGGAGGGTTTTTGTTTGATTTTATAGTGCTAAAATGGCATCCAACAAAGAGCCTTTCACATAGTAAGTGCTTGGTAAATGAATGAATAAATGGTCTTGGATAAGCTTTGGTAATTGGATAATAGGTAAAGGATAATATGTTTTTATTTGTAATATAATTGTAGCATAATATAAGTTAAGTTTTTCTTTGTAGATACAGATGTGGCTCAGTAAATTAGAGGCAACATGACTTAGCAGATAGAGAGCCAGCCTTGAAGTCTAGAGAAAGTGGATTCAAATCCAGTTTGAACTCTGGGCAAGTCTCTTATCTTCTCACAGTACCCCCAGTCAACTCTCTTAAGATATAAATTATAGAAAAGCTTCCTGTTGGCATTGATAAGAGAAACTTTGGTTCCTGGGAGCTCAGTGCATCAGTAAAATCACAGGTCAGGAGAACAAAAACAATCCCAAATTGTTTTATTTACAGTAACTAAACGTGATTTTTTAAACTTAAATCCATTCTAGCAAACTAATTTTATTGTGCTACTAGACTCTTGTCTGAGTTTCTGTATGGTTTATTTATCTCTCTACTTCTCTTGGGGCAGACAATTAGATGAAGGATTCTGCAGTCATAATGAAATGCAGAGCTATTTTATAATTGCCATGGGTAAAATTAGCAAAGTCAATTATTTTCCCTTAGGCCTTTCCCTGAAGATATTGGAGGTCTGCAAGGTAATTGCCTTAGGTAACACTTAGATTTTTTAAATAACACTTAGTATAGAAATTGTTATATTAATTCTCTGGTAATTTTCTTCTTGCTACAGCTGTATACTGTTTCAGTAGTGACATGAGCACAAATGAGATTTATGATTCATGAGGAAAAAGCTCACAATTGATTTAAAAATATTAATGCTGAGGTTCATTCATATGTTTTCAATTATGATAGAGTTGAGGATAATTTTTTATCTTAGTTCTTTGAGGCCCTTCAGATAAAGATATCTCAGAATATCAGTTCTGAAGCCATAAATTACCTGACCCCATTGAGGTTAGTTGCTGAGTTGTATTCATGTAAAGCATCACTGTCTATTGTAATGATGGGACTAGGGCAGCCTAAAATCTTAGTACTTGAACATCAACCTATCAAAGAGACATGCTAAATAATTGGGGAAAATATTATGAGATGGAAAGGGCAGCAATTTTCTAAAAACCAATTCACTCTTACAGGTTTTTTTTAGACTCTGTTTATTTGTAGACTAGATTTGTATTTTAAGATTAGGCCACAATGCAAGTTAGACTGTTTGATATGTTGTTGTTCAGTTGTTTTTCAGTAATGTCTGACTCTTCATGACCCTATTTGGGATTTTCTTGGCAAAGATACTGGAGCAGTTTGCCTTTTCCTTCTCCAGCTCATTTTACAGATGAGGAAACTGAGGCAAA